CTCTACGAGCCAGTAGAAAGCAACTGAGAAAAGCTTACAGTATCTTTTAACTGTTATGCAACACAAAAAGGCTAATTACTTTCCATGAAAGTTGTTATCAAGATTATGCTTGGCCTACATTGACTGTAATTTTCATTTCTAGAAAAATAGTGTCCTCCAGAACACTAAAAGTAGATTATGTTCAGCTTTTACTGGAAAATTTCTACATGTCATTAGAACATTTTCTATGTAACTCTGTGGATACTGGTACATACAACCACAGCAGTGATGGGTTGCAGGCGGTTCGCCCCAGTACAGGTGTACCGGAGCCTGCCTGGAGCACCAGATACCGTTTTGGTACGGTGCTCCAGAGGGCCCACCCGTCCGCCCAAGCTCCTTACTTGTGTTTTAAGCCTTTGACGCTTCCTTGCACACGCATGGCACGTATGGCACCTGCGCGATGTTCCGCCGAGCAGCTGGAGCGTTGTGGATGCTTGTAGAGGCGTCACTGGCAGGTATGATGCATACACGTGCCGTGTGCATATGTGCGCATGCTGCGTGCGTCCATGTGGGCGACACCGGGGGATCTGGAACCCACCACTGAAACACACATTCATATTTCTCTTACCTAATTCCTAAGGATAATCGTTTCAAAAACATTAATGAAGCTTTGATGCTACCAGCTTTTCCTCAAATTGAATGTGCAGTTTGTTTCCATTCATTATGATGAAAAATGTATAAAAACATTTTCAGCAGAAAAAGTCAGTGAAATTTCTCACCAGTGATCAAAAATGGGTACTTAAACTTCTGATAATCCCAGCTGGGAAAGGTTTACCGCTATTGCTCTCTTACTTAACAAATCTTAGCTTGGACATGTAAGAATTCTGGTACCTGATATACCTTTAGAGAAAGATATGGTACCTGTTCAGGTATTTTTTCATCTCTGTTAAAGCCATGTAGGCAAATGTACCCACAATCCAGCACCGAGTCCAATATTGAGCAATTAATCATTTTAAGTGAGGCGATCAAACTCATACTTTTCAGAATAATATCCAGATTGGGACATGATTATCTTTTGCAAAATGCACTTCTCCAAAATGAGTGATTATTGTGGGTAAAAGAGACAAGCACAAATGTGTATACTAGAGAAAGATGTAAATCTTACTTTTTAAAAAATGCGGAATGATGAAAATATTTCACAGAATGCTAACTGAAGTCATGAAATTGATGCAGACTAAAGTAGATTAATGTATGTAGTCTTATTGAAGACGGCACCACTTGAATTTCTTACTTTTGTATTGTGCTCCTTATTTTTTAACGAGGGAGTGTACTGTTTGGAGGCCATGTGATTCATGTGCTGAAAATGTGACACATTGGCTTTGAATTTTGCTCCTTTGAGTAATAAACCCTTCATGAAATCTCAAATATGCACACAGGATTTCATGAGTGCTAGTGTTCTTTTCCCATTTATAGAAATGTTTCTCCGGTTGTTGATAATGAAATACATTTGCATTAGACTAACATAAATATTTGCAATGGTGATATCCTGCTTATATATAAAACCCGGTCACCGGTGGTTAAACCGATGACCACCAAGTTATCACATGAATCAGTGAAATCAAATAATTAGATGCTGCATTATAAGCTAGGCTCAAAATACCGTAATTATTTTCTTTAGTAGTTCAAACTGGGCCACATTTTATTCTAAGATTTAAGACAGATGCATGCACTTAAAAAAAATTGATTACATTTTTTGGAAATGAAATGGCTGAAAATGCAGCGAACGCTAAAGGAAGGATTATACAAAGGAAATTTGTAAGTACGGTTCAATTAGGGAATTTACATCACATTTACTTTAATGCAGGGCTTTCCTCACTTCTGCCTCAGCAAGACATAAGTTGCCTTCATTGCCTCTTTTTCTTCACATGTCCTCATACTGTTGCCTTCATCTCACCTAAGCTCTACTGTATCTTACCAATGAGATAGCTTGAAGTGTCTTTAGCTGTTCCAGTGTTAAAGTTCTTATTCTAGCAGCAGCCAACAGTGGCTGTAAGTTATATCCAATCTGTTAGGTTTTGCCATGTATTCCCTTGGGAGAAAATCAGGTGACTGCAGTGACTTGAAACAGAAGCAATAAAAGTAGGATAGAGATTAGCAATGGAGATAAAAGATTTCATTATTTCAGGTCAATGCAGTTTTCTGCCACCTGAAATATAGTTAGGTTGCATTTCAGCACTGCAGTCAGGAAAGGTCTTAAATTTCCTTTAAACAATTAAAGGAAATTAAACAGTCTTATCAGGAATTGTTTTTGCTTGCTGTCATCTCATAGGTAGGATTTGGAAGAGGTTCTAATTGCTGAGCAGCAACTACAGAAGACTGTCATTTTTATCATGCTCTGCTTATAGGTATTATTGTTGACAATTAGCAGAAATAGAAGGGTAGCCTTAATAAGTACCGTATTTATCGGCGTATAACACGCACCGGCGTATAACACGCATCCCCCATTTTAACACAAAAATTTGAGTAAAAATTTTTTTCATTAAAAATAAATGACTTCATTGGTACTACAGGAAAGTTGAACCATTCTAAAAGACTGATAAATAGTAGCTTTTCTTGAACCAAATCGTCATACGTAATCAAAT